CCAGTCCTGGTTCTTACAGGCATTTAGGGAGTGAACAAATAGATGGACAATCTCTCTCTTTGCTTTTCAAGTAAAAACTTTAAAATGTGATCAATAAATGACATTAATAAAATAATACCTTAAATTGACTACATTCTGAGCACTTTACATGTTTCATCTTCATAAAGGCTTTTTAAAATATGTGCTGTTTAAAATGAGAGGGCACTAGACAATACTCAAATCCATATGAAGAAATCAAGATTCCTGGTGAAAATGTTTACATGGACAATCATATAAAGTGAAGTTACTCTAATTTCTGTTTGTAATCTCACTCTTTTGTTTTCTACATCATTTAGGAAACTAATGATTTTAAAACACAATAACTAGTCTGTACTTTTGGAAACATGGTGAATAAATGTGTGGTTTTGTGACATCAATTACTAAAAAAGAAGTGCGAAATGAAGTTGCAAAGAAGTAGGGTTTTTGTATGTTATTGAAATTAAATTTATGAATTCAGAGAGTCATAATTTAGTGTATTAACTATAATCTCCTTTGTAACCAAAAAGAGAGAAACCAGAATGGTAGTTTACAGTAAAGAAGGAATGGGATTCAATGAATACAGAGATTCACTTCTGCAAAATGACGAAAAGTTCTAGAGATGGTGGATAATAGTTGTACCACATTTTGAATTTACTTAATGCCACTGAAATGCGTACTCAAATAAGTGTAATATGGTACATATTATAATATGTATAATTTACATACCTTAAACAATAAATAATTTTAAATAGTTAGTAGTCATGAATTTAAGGTGAAGGCATTATATTTTGTGTTTTTCTCCATCTCATTTTAGCTGTATGTGTTTCTCTACAGAAACAATGAAGATGTGGGCTTGTCAAGTGATGTGAAAAAGAGTCAAGGAAATAAAAGTATATAAAGGAATGAAATTAATAATTGTGGATATAAGCTATTTGCTAGAACTGTAGCCATTAAGTCAGACTGATAACAGAAGGAAATAGAAGACAGTAAAATAGTGCCAACTCAAACGAGTCCACTTCTTTTAAACAGTCTTCCTGGAAGGCCCAAACACATTTTAGTGGCAAGACTTAGTCATGTAGCTATACATTGCTTTAAAGGATTCCAGAAAATATAATTCATTATTCTATGGTGCAGTGTGTTCTGTTGAAAACCATCCCACTTACTAGGGAAGGAGGAGAGAATAAATATAGAAGAAAATTTCCCTCCTCTGTCATAATATGAAAACTATCTTTTGCCTAATGAATCTCTCTGGAGGCAGACTTTGAAAGAAGTTGATTTAGCCTGGGGATGGGATGGGAGTAGGGGGAGATGTTCTTCTTTCATTAGAATTAGACACAAGACCATTTACACGAAAGTGTGACTAGGAAAACAGCATGTGTTTTTGCTCATCCATCCATCTCTCTTCAATTTCGTCTCCCTCAGGCATACTGATCGTCTTAGTAATAAGACTCTTCATGTAATTTCATACCTTTAGAGAAGCTTCCTTCAGGAAAGGGTTTGATAAACCCAATCTCATTATGGATTAAATGATTGATAAAGGTTAGAATCATTTATCTGGATACTCTAAACATTTAAAGAGGGTAAAACCTGAGGCTACGAAGTGCAGCATTTTTTTGGAGTGGGTTTCTACTTTAGGAATTCAGAGTATTTTAAGGGATATGGGGAGCTTCCCAGCGCCTCTGTAATGATTCCATTTTGGCCATCCACTCTCTGAATACTGTTAAGTGCATCATTGGCTAGAGCTACATATTTCTGTCTTTCAGACTGTCAATCTAGCAACAGCCATTAAATTCACTATGAAACCAAATAAAAAGAAGCATTTTGCAATTAGAATGAATAAAGGTTAATGGAATAAAAGATGCAGAGATCATTATCAGATAGCTGTGGGACTCAGACTTTTCACAACTCAATCAGTGAATGCTATGAAGTAGAATTAACCTTGCGGCATCCTGGAGAGTTGGCACAAGACAAGTTTTTGCTTGCAACAGAGACATATTTCTTTGACTTCTCACTGAATAACCAAATAGAATTGACTGATGATTTGCCACATGCTACCAGGAGATATCTTAGTGCAAGTGATAGACTACAAAATAGGAATGCTACTTAACATGAATTTTATTGCATCTCAGCACCTGCTCCAGCCAACAGTCATTACTATCTAAGGGAGGCTGTACTCAGATTATCATTATTCCTGTATCTTTGCATTTGTATTCTGTCGACTACTGTGCAAGGTAAAATTGATGAATGGAGGAACTGATTGTGAGTGGCGGAAACCTGGGGCTGCAAATTCTTTGCAAGCCTGGAATATTAGGAAGGGTTGGGGGAAATGGGTTGTTTATATAATTAGAATCATCATCTAGGTATATACTAGCTTTTTTCTCACTCCCAACTCTATTCCTTCCTGCCCTCCATTTCTCTTTGTCTCTCTTCCCTATTAATTTTTATCAGGATATTTTATTTTAATGAGTGAATATGAAACAGAATAGCCAGGACAAAAATTGTTAATCCAAAATTCCACATAAACCTCATTCTCTGATCAGTAGGATAATGCTAGAATGGTATCAGTGAGTTTTATATGTATGTATATATATATATGTGTGTTTGTGTGTGTGTGTGTGTGAGAGAGAGAGAGAGAGAGAGACTCAGGACTAATATTCCTAAGGTTATTCAGAATAATCACTGAAATATTGAAATATTCCTTGAGCAAATGATTATCTATTTGCTGATTCAAGTCTTGTGAATATGTCCTTGCTACCAAGCCCCTTATTGTGTCCAAAAGAAGTCTAAGATTCTTGAAATTGCTCCAATATCTATACACTAAAAATTTAGAACTTGACTCCATAGGAGGTCAGCAGGTGCAGCCTTTGATGTGTAATATTATTGTTCTGAGCCCCTGTCATATCAGTTGTTTACTGCCAGAATTGTTTACCTGCTAACATGCTCTCCAAAGACTTGAATAAAGAAGGCTGATGTGGAGTAAGAAAAATTAAAATGAATCAACTTTGTTTAGTGTGTTAGTTTTCTATTCTTATGGAAAAAACAGGCATTTATTGCATTTATTCTTCTGGAGCTTTTAGTGAGGAGCTGAATCAGTACTGCTTTGTTTATCAAAATGTCTGTGTTTAAGCCCAGAATAGCAAGTCTGAGCAGATGAGCAAAAGAAAAAGGGCACACTCAATCCATGGGTCATGGACCCCTACAGGTCTAAGTGACAATTCAACTCATTCTGTGTGGTCCTCTGTAACCCTTAAAACCTTTGCTTATTATTATGTAAATTGGATTACTGCTGCATATCATTTGTAGGTGTGTCTTTTTTTGTGGGAGCTCCCAGAAGGGTTCAAATTTTACCTTTGGATATTTCTTTTCTCCAAAATTCAGTAGATATAAAAATGATTCATATCTTTGGCAGGCTTCAGGTCTTTTCAATCATGGTTAACAATGGTATCCGCTGACAGAAACTACATCCTCTGCACATCATTTTGTGCATTGCTTTGAACCACTATTTGTAAATTGTGTGTGATTGGGTCTATACAGATTAAAATAGCACCAAGAGAGCCAATTTAAGGCTTGGGATGAGTGAATCTGAGCGTTAGAGGCATTCTGGCAAGCACACACCTCATAAATCCCTTTGCTAAGTTTGTAATGCCTGCAATGGAATGTGCAGCTCAGGCACTTTACCCTTGTTAAAGCAAAGGTAAATGGTAAGGGTTCTCACACTGCTCCAAGGGGAATAAAAAAGACAGGAAATGGAAGAGGCTTTGTTAAGTCTAATGGGGTCCCCCAGTACTCTGAAATCAAATTAGCCAAAGATACCAACATCTTTGCTAATTTTAGCATTATTATATTTAAATACATACTATTATTTAGTGGAAGAACATCAGGGTGACTTGCCAGCATATTCAAAATAGAATAGGAGCTAGGAAAAAAATCCTTCTATAAAGATCTCATTGATCAGATATGACAAATGATGGCAAAATAATTAGTGTGCTTCGGGGCTGGCTCTGTGAAGCTGTAGGTTAATCCTCCACCTGCAGCGCCAGCATCCCATATGGGTGCCGTTTCTAGTCCTGGCTGCTCCTCTTCCAATCCAGCTCTCTGCTGTGGCCTGAGAAAGCAGTACAAGATGGTCCAAATCCTTGAGCTCTTGCACACAAGTGGGAGACCAGGGAGACCAGGAAGAAGCACCTGTCTCCTGGCTTTGGATTGATGCAGCTCCGGCCGTTGCGGCCATTTGGGGAGAGAACCAATGGAAGGAAGACTCTCTCTCTCTCTCTCTTTCTCTCTCTCTAACTCTACCTCTCAAATAAATAAAATCTTTAAAAAAAAAGAATTGGTGTTCTTCAATAGCAAATGTCTTTAGATGATTTTGATCATCGATAACAGGAGGGCTTCTCAACTTTGTTGACACACTAGAATCTCCAGGGAGCTTTACAAAAATCCTTATGCCTTGATCCTTCCTAGAGAGATTTTAATTTATTTCATCTCAGGTGAGGTCTCTGCATCAGAATTTAAAAAATATTCCTAGGAAATGTTAGTGTGCAGAGCAGGTTGGGAAACACTCGGTGAGAACCACTGTGAACCATTTATTTTATGCTAATGTGTCTTAGTAACACAAATTTTTTTAAAAAATTAAGGAATCATATATTTATAGCTGTAAAGTTTTAATATGTGTGTATTTTCAAACCATGGCTCAAAAGTAATAGTGTAAAACTTTTAAGACTTGGAAGCATTTGAATTAAGAGATCAAATTTTCAAATGAATATATCTAGATATGTGACTCGATGGCTTAATTTAAAATTATAGTGCATAAAGTTTATAGAAATCCAGAACTGTGTATAACTTGTATTTTATGGTGTCATTAAGAAAGCAAAACTTGGAGCTCACATAGTTAATGGCTTCCATGAGAAATGTTTTCCTGTAGGCACTTAGCAAGAACAGCAATATTTTTATATAACAAAGTAATATTTGTTTCTCATTGGCAGGCAGACAACAATCTCTAGACAGAAGATAATGGCAGCTGAATGTTGATGAAGATTTCCCTGATATGATTTCAGTTAATTAAGAACACCAGTGTTTCTGAAAATGGAACTTCCTCTGTATCAGAGGCAGGGGGAGATCATTTTGACAGTTCGAATGATCTGAGAGTTGACTGGAGTCATTTGGAAGTTTGAGGTCAGGAAACAACTTTGACGCAATTATTAATCATGATGGACATGTTCACCCCATTAGCTACTTAAAATCCAATTTGGTGGGGCCTTAGTATAGTATCCATTAAAAAGCATTGTATGACAATTTTTTCTTCCTTTAGAAATAAACCAACTTTCTCATCTTTGTTAAATCTGAGAAGGAAAAAATGTGCATAAACGGGAATACATAAACCGATTGTTCACTCTTTAACAAGGCAGTAGGTCTCCTGACCAAGCATTCCCATGTGGCCATCATCTGCCAGTGATCTGCTTCCATTATAGCAGCTTTGAGGAAAGAGGCATGCAGAGAAAGATATATACCATTTACACTGAGGAGTAGCTTGATGGTTGATGGGCAACACTCTCTCCGTGGTGCCAGCAAACATGTATTTTAGAACTATTCATAGTTCAATTTTAGAGAGTGTAATTCTCTGATACAAAAGCCTCTTGATTTATGGATAGTTATGAGACAAACTGTTCGTCTCATACTTCTCAGTAAAAGGTGTTATAAGGCATTTTTGTAAAGCTGTTGTTATTGTCCCAAAAATAAATCTCTAAGGACAACATACAGAATTCAGTTTTTTCTTTTTCTCCAAACAAATGCAATATTCTGTCTCTTCAGGTAATATATTAGAAAGGAATCTAGAACCTATAAAATAATTCTGTGTTCCTCAGGCTGACAGGATTTAAACCTCCACATTACAGGTGCCCAATAAATATTTTTAAAATATTTTAAAGGAAGAACAACAGGAGTAAGCCATGACCTACAGAAATATTTATGAATACTAACAAAAGAATTTCACCATTATACTATCATTTCATTTTCTTTTTTAAAGAGATGCAAATTTTTTCTAAACTGAGCCTTTCATGAGACACAAGAAGGGCTAATTCTCTGTTTCCCTATGCCTCTAAACATTAGTTAATACCTTTTATTATTCCTTATTATAATATATGAGGATTTTCAGTTGCACTTTCTACTTAGCATCATAGAATGTTAAAAGTTGGACTTAGAAAATCATGAAATGTGATTTAACGGATTTAGTGCAATATTTGGGAACTAACTGGTAAAAAGTATTAGCTATTATGATCATATGTAATATCATTATGATATTTACCATATCTTGTTAATTTCTATTTTACAATTGAGTTAACTGAACTCCTGTGAGCTGAGACTTTTTCCAAAATAAAAATAAAATATACCCCAAGAAGTTGATTTAAGAACAGATTCTCCTAAAAGTTAATCCAATTTTAAAATATATATATTTTAATCAATTTTAATTAATGTTTAACAGATTGCATGATTTGTAGATACAAATCTAAGAACAAAATGCTATTTACTTTCTCCCTCTCTTTCTCATTCCCTTCCTCCCTCTCATCCTCCTTCATTCTACTTTTCATTCTTTTTTTTTAGATTCTGAGATATTTTAAACTTATAGTAAAAAGGTTTAATACTTTACCGAATAAGATTAAAAAGTAAAAGGCAATAGCACCCTAGTTTAATGGGAATGTAAACAACAGCCATAAACGATAATGAAATAGAACAATGACTGTTTCACCCATATACAGTGCTATTTTTTGTCAGCTACTCATTCATAATTTCTTTCAATGGAATAGAACCAGTGACAATGTAATATCTAAATATTTCATGTGTTGTTAAAAGATAATAATTAAATTCATTAACTTTAATCCATTTTTCTTAACAGTAAATACACAATAATAATATGCAGATTTCAATACAAATAATCATACATTACATTTTTGTACTCTTTTATTTACCACAAATCAAGGAAAATATATGATATTTGCCTTTTTGGGACTGGCTTATTTCACTAAGTATAATGGTTTTCAGTTACATCCATTTTGATGGAAAATACAGAATTTCATTCTTTTTTATGGCTAAGTAATATTCCTTAGTATATATGTACCACATTTTCTTTATCCAGTTATCAGTTGAGGGGCATCTTGGTTGATTCCATACTTAGCTATTGTGAATTGAACAGCAATAACTATGGGGTTACCGATAACTCTTTCTTATGCTGATTTCATTTTGTTTGGGTAAATTATCAGAAGCAGGATCTCTGGGTCATATGGTAGATTTATTTTCAGCCATCTGGATTCTCCACATTGTCTTCCATATGGTTGTGCTAGGTTATATTTCCACCAATAGCGGATTGGGGGACATTTTCCCCCATATCATAACCTACATTTATTTTTTTTTAGATTGCCGTATGAGAGCCATTCTACCTGGGGTAAGGTGAAACTTCAGTGTGGTTTTTATTTGTGTTTCCTTGATGATTAGTGATCCTGAACATATTTTCTTTTTTTTAACTTTTATTTAATAAATATAAATTTCCAAAGTAAACTTTCTGATTATAGAGGTATTCCCTCCCATAACCTCCCTCCCACCCACAACCATCCCATCTCCCATCCCACCCCTCATTAAGATTCATTTTTAACTATGTTTATATTCAGAAGATCAACTTAGTATTTACTACGTGAAGATTTCAACAGTTTGCACCCACACAGATACACAAGGTATAAAGTACTGTTTGAATACTAGTTTTACCATTAATTCTCATAGTACAACACATTAAGGACAGAGATCCTACATGGGAATTAAGTGCACAGTGACTCCTGTTGTTGATTTAACAATTGACACTCTTATTTACGACATCAGTAATCACCCGAAGCTTTTGTCATGAGCTACCAAGGCTATGGAAACAACTTGAGTTCACAAACTCCAAACTTATTCTTTAGACAAGGCCATATCAAAATGGAAGTTCTCTCCTCCATTCACAGAAATTTACCTTCTACTTTGATGGCCCGTTCTTTCTGCTGGGATCTCACTCACAGAGACCTTTCAGTTTGGTTTTTTTTTTTTTTTTTGCCACAGTGTCTTGGCTTTCCATGCCTGAGAAACTCTCATGGGCTTTTCGCCATATCAGAATGCCTTAAGGGCTGATTCTGAGGCCAGAGTGTTGTTTAGAGCATCTGCCATTCTATGATCGGCTGTGAATCACGCTTCGCATGTTGGATTGTTCTCTCCTTTTAATCCTATTGGTTATTATTAGCAGACATTGGTCTTGTATATGTGATCCCTTTGACATTTAATCCTATCTTTATGATCAATTATGAACTTAAACTGATCACTTTGACTAGTAAGATGGCATCGGTACATGCCACCTTGATGGGATTGATTTGAAATCCCATGGCACTTTTCCAGCTCTACCATTAGTAGATATTCTGAGTGAGCATGTGCCAAAATGTACATCTCTCTCTTTTATTCCCAATCATATTTAACAGGGATCACTTTTCAGTTAAATTTAAATGCCTAAGAATAATTGTGTGTTAATTAAAGAGTTCAGCCAATGGTATTAAGTATAACAAAAAATATTAAAAGGAATAAAATAGTAAGCTGTTCCCTGACAGTCAGGACAAGGGCTAATCAAGTCTTTGTTTTTCAAAGTGTCTGTTTCACTTCTACAGGTTTCCTTTTAAGTGCTCAGTTAGTTGTCACTGATCAGGGAAAATATATGGTATTTGTCCCTTTGGGACTGGCTTAATTCACTCAGCATGATGTTTCCCAGATTCCTCCATTTTGTTGCAAATGACCAGATTTCATTTTTTTTAACTGCTGCATAGTGTTCTATAGAGTACATATCCCGTAATTTCTTTATCAAGTCTTCTGTTGATGGGCATTTGAGTTGGTTCCAGGTCTTAGTTATTATGAATTGAGCTGCAATAAACATTGAGGTGCAGACAGCTCCTTTATTTGCCAATTTAATTTCCTTTGGGTAAATTCCAAGGAGTGGGATGGCTGGGTCAGGTGGTAGGACTATATTCAGGTTTCTGAAGAATCTCCAAGCTGTATTCCCTGGTGGCTTTACCAGTTTGCATTTCCACCAATAGTTGATTACTGTGCCTTTTCCCCCACATCCTTGCCAGCATCTGTTGTTACTTGATTTCTGAATGTAACCCATGCTAACAGGGGTGGTGTGAAAAATCACCATGGTGTTGATTTTCTTCTCCCTGATTGCTAGTGATCCTGAACATTTTTTCATGTGCCTGTAGGCCATTTGGAGTTCCTGTTTTGAAAATGTTTATTTACATCCTTGGCTCATCTCTTAAGTGGGTTGTTTGTTTTGTTGTCGAGTTTCTTGATCTCTTTGTAGATTTTGGTTATTAATCCTTTATCTATTGCATAGTTTGAAAATATTTTTTCCTATTCTTTTGGTTGCCTCTTCACTTTATTGACTGTTTTTTTTGCTGTACAGAAACTTCTCAATTTGATGCAAACCCAATTGTTAATTTTGGCTTTGACTGCCAATGCCTCCAGGGTCTTTTCCAAGAAGCCTTAGTCTTTGCCTATATCTTGCAGGTTTTCTCCAATATTCTCTAATAATTTGATGGTGTTAGGTCATAGAATTCGATCTCTAGCCCATGTTGAGTGGATTTTTGTGTAAGGTGTAAGGCAGGGGTGTTGCTTCATGATTCTGCACATGGAAATCCAGTTTTCCCAGCACCATTTATAGAATAGATTATCCTTGCTCCAGGATTTGGTTTAGATCCTTGATCAAATATAAGTTGGCTGTAGATATTTTAATTGATTTATAGTGTTTCTATTCTGTTCCATTGGTCTATCCATCTGTTTCTGTACCAGTACCATGCTGTTTTGATTACAACTGCCCTGTAGTATGTCCTGAAATCTGGTATTGTGATGCCTCCGGCTTTTTTTGTTTGTTTTGTTTACAAGATTGCTTAAGCTATTCAGGGTCTCCTGTGTCTCCATATGAATTTCAGCAGCATTTTTTCCAGATCTCAGAAGAATGTCTTTGGTATTTTGATTGGTTTCGCATTGAATCTATAAATATTTTGGGGAGAATGGACATTTTGATGATATTGATTCTTCCAATCCATGAGCATGTAAATTTTTCCATTTTTTGGTATCCTCTTCTATTTCTTTCTTTAAGGTTTTGTAATTCTCACTGTAGAGACCTTTGACATCCTCGGTAAGTTTATTCCTAGGTATTTGCTTTTTTTTGTAGCTATTATGAATGGGATTGATCTTAGAAGTTCTTTCTCAGCCATGGCATTGCCTGTGTATACAAAGGCTGTTGATTTTTGTGCACTGATTTTATACCCTGCTACTTTGCCAAACTCTTCTATGAGTTCCAATAGTCTCTTAGTAGAGTTCTTTGGATCCTCTAAATAAAGAATCATATCGTCTGCAAAGAGGGACAGTTTGAATTCTTCCTTCCGAAATTGTATCCCTTTAATTTCTTTTTCTTGCCTAATAGCTCTGGCTAAAACTTCCAGAACTATATTGAATAGCAGTGGTGAGAGTGGAAATCCCTGTCTGGCACCAGATCTCAGTGGAAATGCTTCCAACTTTTCCCCATTCAATAGGATGTTGGCTGTGGGTTTTTCATAAATTGATTTGATTGTATTGAGGAATGTTCTTTCTATATCCAGTTTGCTTAGAGTTTTCATCATGAAAGGGTGTTGTATTTTATCAAATGCTTTCTCGGCATCTATTGAGATAATCATATGGTTTTTCTTCTGCAGTCTGTTATTGTGGTGTATCACATTGATTGCTTTGTGCACATTG